GTCAAAAGTCTTATCGGATATGAATTTTTTATAATCTTCTAATTTTGGCAAATGAGGGGCTAGCTATCAAAAAACATTGATAACATGAAAGCATGTTAAAAAGAGCGAAAAAAATATCCGTAGTTGCTAGATTATTTGAGATAAAAGGAAACTATCTTCACACGTTAATCTCTAAGATAACTGCGTTTAATAACATGATCATTGAGTTGCAATTGGGAAACTGTAGAGAAAATTGTAAAACAACTTTTTTTTGGAAAAAATGACAGGCGTCCACTTGAATGCTGGCAAACACTCCGCTCCCTTAGCTCGTTTTTTTATCGAGAGTAAGACAAAAAAGTGTGTGGAGCTATGAAGCGACTATAGAGCACATGTATATAAAGTGGTCCCTTTTTGAAGGGTAGGCATTGACCAGACAAACATGCTCCTTTTCAGCTTTTTCCTAGTGCAGGTGAGTTAAGAGGTGCTAAAAGAATTAAGTCATGTCGAAACGCAACAAATGAAATCCTCGTTGTGTGATTTTCAAAATTTCCTTTCACTTTCGCCGCGTTCGCTGATAACAGTGCTAAGGGAGGCTGCAATAGATTTACTCCAATATTTCGCGCAACTCTATAACACGCAATATGTAGCACTCCAAGTGCAATAACATTGTTTTTCTACTGTCCAGACGATATGCTTTGAACGATAGGGACTTATCATCTGCGCTGGCGATGATCTCATGATATCATTTTGATTCAGATATTCTAAGCTGGTTGAGTGAGTCATGGTTTCCTCGTAAGCATCTCGCATCGAAAAATTAATTGTGTAGAATTTCGTTTTCCAAAAATGAGCAAATAATTACCTCCTGAAGCAACGAATTTGCACCGCAACATCCATCCCGATTAATCCTTCCTCAAAAAAGTTGCTCTTCGTGAAAAATTCTGGATGCAACAATTTAGAAATCGAGTTGATGGCGAAGCGATCTAGATACTATATAATTGGAATAGAACGGTGTTTTGTTTTATTTTGCGTCCCTTAACAAGTATTGGGTAAATTATTGAATTCTATTGCAAAATTTCATATAAAGTGTATAAATTACAGAGTTCGATTTGATATTCAAACACTGTCCAGAGAGACCACATATAATGTTCATCTTAGCAAAGTAAATCCATTATTGTAAAAAGTAAAGTCTCTATCCGTCTTGTGAGCATGCATGCTTGGGATAGAAACGTTGGCATCTATTTTAGAATTTAGATCATTGTCATCTCTCAGCAAGTTTTGTTATGATTAGGTTCTTCCTGAAATATATCTTTGTCAATTTCTCCGTATATGGGATAAACGTGGAACATTCGTTTCAGAAGCTTTGGGCTATGACCTGCAGATTTATGCCTACAAATGTTTGTCAGTGATCAAGAACGTAAAAACAATCATGACCAAATATATCATCATTTTTTCTTTATTGTTAATAGAAGTATGGAGTAAGAAAACGAAACTGAACGCTTTCGTTTATTCTTATTAACTTCAAGCTCGCAAAAACTTCTCCACACTTATCAGCAGGATGTTTTGTTTAATGACTGAATAATTTTCAGATTGCTACTGCAGTGATCGCAGAAAGTGAAAACGATGGTGAACCATCTGATTACGAGACTATAGCGAAGTTATTTATAAGTATGATAAGAATCAATCAAATTATTCTCTATTTGAAAGAAAAAATCTTGCAGACTGTCCGCGTGAACACGATCTATTTAGATACTACTCACTTTTAAGACACAATATTTACAGGTTAGCAAGCATCAACTTTGCTCATATATGCCATAATCATGGTCATAAGAATTTCAATTTTGTGTTGGAAACTGCTTTTTTTGCAAGCAGTAACATTTATAAGATTACAGTTTTAATGCAGGTTTATCGCATATTCCAAATTCCTGTTGGATTTGTGTTCAAAGTGTGACGAAGCTAGTCAGCTCTGATGTATCAAGACGCTGACGTAAAATATCAGAAACAATTATGTAACTGCAAGGCAGCAAGAATATTGCCGCAATTTTCAACACATTAATGCTGTAATGTGTTATGTTACAAGAATATCTGATGAGAACATTAATTTCAAGATACACTCTTGGATCTGGAAAAGCTTTATTCAAGAGGAACGCTGACAAAGTGATGAGAAACATGCCAAAAGGAGCAGTAAAGCCTTTGGTATGGAACGCCGGCAGATATTATTGCTTGAAAAACATTTTATTATAGAAATACGACTGCAAACTTGAGCAAGTGGCCATTGATTACATGGGGAAAGACTGCAGTACGAACGCTATTGTACAGGGAGAGGCTATAAACTATTTGGAAGTTGATAAAAAAGACGTGAGGAGATTGAAGAACTGGAACAATCGAACAGCACTTAATAAGGTTCGGATTTTTAGATGCATCTTTTTTAAAAATATGCATGGGAAAATGAAATTTGCCAAATTTAGGCTCTGATCGAATGGTGGGACGATAAGCCTACAAGGTTTTTAGGCAAGACTTCTGAGCTCCTGGGATTCTTCCTCGTAGAGTACAATACTCAATACCACAGCTTTTCTTTAGTAAATCTTTTTAATTGTATAAGAAATGGCACTTGATCGTAGTCAATGCTTTTTGCTGGTTCTTAGATAGGATATGGTCCCAACACGAGAGTCGGCTGTGCAGCGAAAGAATGTGGAGATAAAATACATGTGGCATGCGCTTTCGGAGAGGGGTAATTCGTTTCCTATCTCTTTTCAAAAAAATTGCCACAAATTTCAGACCCAAGCCGGAATTCCCATTATATCTAACGGAACGAGAATGCGAGGAGTTCATGAAGGAACACAGCCTTCCAGAGGTAAAGGCACTTGCGGAACGCTATCGTTGCGGTGAAGAGTAGAAAACAGGGCAAGATAAAAATCTTTATTGAAGACCTATGTGAAATTTACTGAAGGTGAAATAAATAAATAGTAATGTCTTCTTAGGCAATTGAAAACTAAGAGACAGCACAACTTCTCAATTTAGTTTTCGGTGTTTCGCCATCCTCCATCTTTATAAAACGAATATTCTTCAATTATTGATTGGATGCTACTATTCAATAACTCTCTGTCCTCTTTCGCAACCATTAAATAAATTTCTCTTCTACTAAATAGCTTACTCTCCTACAATAGCAAAAACAGCTTTGAATTCAAGGGTAAGAAGTTTAAGAAGCGCAGGAGGGGAAGCAACAACGCCACCAAGGAATGCAGCAAGAGTATTGGCAGGACGTACACAATTTTCTGGAAGAAGATTAATTTTGGATCTATAATAAGTATAAAGAACTTGTAAAACTCCGATGACTATGGTTTTTGAGAATATTAATAATGCTGCAGATGCCTTCAAGGTACATGTCGCCACACGTGCCATACGCAGTCGTTCCTTCAAATTTATGTTCAATATAGACAATTAAAAACGCACATAAAAACTTGTAATGCGTAACGTACAAAAATAATCTGAAGATATTACCATGGCGTGAAAGAAATGATCGGGAAGATATATTGTTGGAAAATGTTCATTTTTAATTATATTGAATAGAAATATTCAACTCATGATGTGCGGGAAAGGTTAGTAATGCAGAATCCCTTTCTCTGAAACTCTTCTTTATGTAAATCTGTTATTTTGTAAAACTTGCATGTGCAAAAGATAAACGCTACTTTGGGAAGATGAAGTAATGACGATGTGCGATTTGTAATCAAGTTGAAGTAGTAGAAAATTCATGTTACCTTTAATAATTAGGTGATGTCCCGTATTTGTGTGAAAGCCTGTAATGACACTTAAATTTGGTGATACCTAATTACAAAATATCGCCACTGATTTCTGGCCTTTAAATAGGTTTTTATCAACTTGATATTCAAGCAAATAATATGAGAGGGGGATTAATAAGAATTAATACCCTTCAATCTTTTAAGATTTTAACTCTCAAGGTTTTTTGAAGCAGAGAATCACCTTAGGTCACAAATAAGGATCACCGTCAGTCCTGAGTTGTTAATGGCGACATGTCATGAAAAAGAGAAATTTGCTATTTTTTTTTCAAAGTTAAACACCACCTTTGTATGGATTAGAAACTGATTTCAAATGTCTGATTATTTTTGAAAGTTTTTTGAACAGTTATGACGAGGCGGCGCTCCCGACGCTTCTTCGCGTTTAATCCGTTTTTTTAAACGGCGATAGCGAGGGTACGGTATGTGCTTACATACATGTGTGCCTTTATTAGTTTATTCTTCTCAATTCTTGGAAATATTGTAAGTGATAACAGCGAGGATAGGGATATGGTTTGGAAAACTTTCGAGGAAGGTAAAAAAAAACAGTGTATGGAATTTTGAGCAAATTACCAGCATTGCCTTCATTTTTGCAGAATTTAGATATTTTAAGTGTACATACTATTGTTTTATCTCTTCTTCAAAGAGGTCAGCGCTGTTGCACAGCGCTGAAAACGTTTTGAATTGAAACTGTCGTTCAAAATCACTTAATTATAAATAGGAAAGAAGAGTCAATGTGCAAGCGATTCTTCACGATTCTTGACTTTGTTTCTCAATTTGTGATTTTATTTCATTTTTTAGTCTCTTGTAGAAGAGAAAGAACGCAACAGTCGCTTTATCTATTTAAGGCTATCCTAACAATTCAAGCATTAACTTGCCACATCTACACCAAAAAAGTTCCTTATTAATCCGAAGACTTTGCACTACATATAGTTTCTAGGGTAGTAATTGCTAATTGCTCGTTGCCGATAGAACAAATGAACTATACTTTGACAGTGAGTTGAATAATTGTAGCCACACGTGACATTGTTATTAAATTCATTAGCTAAAGTTTCGGCAGCTTCTTTGGAGCCTGAAATGCGCAATACGATCTTTAACCTATTCGACCAAACGTCTTTACGGCTATGCACTCTTCTAGACAAAGCACCATAAAGCAGCACTTTGGCTATGCAATAGCTACCGCTAACTGACTGATCACGTAAGCAAATAACTAGATAATCTTTAATCAGAAGAGCTGAGCGAGATAGGGTGCAATTTGCGCGTCATTGCGAGGTACTTTGAAACACAGAAGGAAGCAGACATAAAGTCAAACTCTGGTTCCCTTCCATCTGAGCTTTGCTACAAGGTATATAGCGTCAGACATATTTGAAAACCCGAATGCATGCCTTCCAGCATGTGAAGGTTATTTTTGTAATCAGTCGCTTTGTTTCCATCTCCAAAAGGAGATATGAGTATTTAGAGTATGATATTTGCCTAATTTTTCAATTGCTTTTTAAGCTCTAAGCTAAGATTTTTTGTGGGCAAAAATCATAATCTTTTTTAGAATGATAAGAATTTGAGCTTGTTGATTTGTACTTGGTTCTTCATTTAGCATCTTGCACAATTTTTCTAGCTCCAGATGTGGGACAAGATTTACCACTGCAATCATTGCGATTGATCTAAACGGTGTTTCTTATATAATTAGCGGAAGCTTACCATCTGGTAGGTCATCACTTCTGCCCACGCCCACTGTGGTAGAGTCGCGATCGAAATTCTATTCATTTTTGCGATTGCACACAAATGGAATTCTGGATTTGCCATAAAGCATGTCAGGCAATTTCCGTTATTAAAAGTTTGCAGTTAGAAGTTTCTGCTTGTTTTTTCTCTGTATTTCTCAGGTGACGAGCAGTATTTCTAGATTGTAGAGTTTATGGAGGTTTGTTGTTGGATGGACTGACATATTTCCTTTCCTATTTTTGGGTAGAGATAACAAGTTCCTTGGGCAAATTTCCAAATTAAAAAGTTGTTGTCGAGCCACCCATTTGTTATTGGTGCTGTTACGAAATACATTTTGTTTAACACCGAGGAACAAAAAAGCAAAAGAAACCTTTTGCACATTTTTAACAATAGAATCGCTAACGCGCCGTGCACTGGTTGTGCAATTGTACAAGTGGATAGGAATTTGACGGCGACATGCAAAAAACTATTTTTGCGCTATTGGAGCCTCGGGTCAATCATAGAAGGCGCCTAAACGTCATCCTCCCACCAAAGGCTCGCCGACTTTCGGTTTGCTCGTAGCGTTCCGACCCTCTTCTCCTATTGGCTGTTCTCGTAATGTATGTCACACGCGCAGAGGCGAACTAATGAAAGCAAGATGTGGCTGGGGCCCCTACGTGCAAATTAGGTTTTGAATATTATTTTAGGATATTTCATTAGTTTGTCATATTGTATACAACAGATGTATGGAATGTTATTAACTCACAATCGTACTTGAACTTTACGCATACGAAAAGAAGTATCATTTCAATCCTATCAAATTGAATTCCAAAAAATAATTTTTGACAATAATACGCCAACTGGCTTGTGAAACATCACATAAATAATCCAACTGCGAGTAGTAAATCATGCTTTTCGGAAAATGTCCACTTTGCTTCAAAGTTGCTCATTTGTAATTATAAGTTTATTCAGATCTTATCTGATGGCTGCACAATTTACCTATTATAATGACTCACAGACTGAAAATTTCCGTTGAGTTTAAAGTATAATTATTAATATAATACATGTAGTTCATAATTTCAAAAAAATGAGAAGTTGCAAAATGATCCATTTTGGAAAAAAATCAATACTTTGAAAAAAATATGCGGGCTAAACCCAACGCCTTTTCTCGACCAAACATTTTCCCACGCCCTCGGAGGTACTCAAAGATTATTATCCTCTTTGATTCTACATTATAGTTTTAATCTTCAAAATAGACAAAGATTCAGATTGCAGTGAGAAGATAAAAGAGACAATATAGTGCAGGAAGAGAAATTCACATCACACGTATTCTTCACCTGCATGGCATAGTTAGAAGAAGACAAATCTGAAAATGGCCCCAAAGTTATGGAAAGTTTTCAATACTGCGACTTTTTTACATCACGCAGTTTACAGTTTTAAAAGTTTCTTCAACGTGCTCATCAATATGGATATCGCGCTTCAACAGTTAAAAGAAACAGTAGCTAGTAGTGGGTAAACATATCAAACAAAAATTACCTCAGTGAATTTAGATGGATTAAAAATTGGCCAGTAAAGCCTACTAAAGGTTACTGTTCTCTTGATTATCCCAAAATCCTGGCAGGGTCGAAACAGAGATAAACACTATCTAAGAAAGTTGATGTCCCTATCATTACACAGTAACCGGTTCTTCTTCCTAACGTACCAGTCTCTAAGTTATCACCAATCCTTTGACTACTTTTCTCTGCTTTAATGTAACGACATGCAACAATGATTATTTATGGATACTGTTTAACGGGGTGTATGTCAAGAATAACGATAGCTGGCAGCAATCGCGCGCGCACATGCTGTGTTATTCACGTGTAGGCCGAATACCCCGCCCTTCCGCAGATGCATGTACGCGGCAACTACAGTGACTCCTGAAATTATCTTCGTCCACAACAACTTTCTCAAATGGAACATCGCTGTTGTGATGCTGTTGTTAAACTTATATGAATATAAGCAAATTTCTAGTGTTAAATCTAAATCAGTGATTTTTCAGTTCTCAGAATATTGTAGTATTCGTCATGCCTGTCAAGCTCTTTTTTAGAAAATCGCAGCAGATAGTAAACTGCTGACAATAGTGAAATCAAGTTTATGCGTGTACAGATCAAACCGAAGCTAGTGTTTAGGCGCGTTCTTTTAATGAACAGTTTCTATTACTTTTTGAATAGCAATGGTTGAATAGATTATAAGGTTAATTTAACACATCAGGAAAGGATCTAAGAACTTTGTTCGCACTTCAAAGGTCGCCTGAGGGATGAAAGAGCTAAATACCTCTGGATGAATACACCTCAAATTCTTAGGCCATCATTCTCTTGACGCAGCTCTGTGTCATCTCTGGTCTTTCAGACAAACCACTAATGTTTCA